CCCGAACATAGGATCGTCAAGAAGGTTCTACGCTCACTACCTGGAAGATTCCAAATGAAAGTCACCGCTATTCAAGAGCATAAAGATCTGAATACATACAGACTAAGTGACCTAATAGGAAATCTTCAAACATATGAACTGGAGATGCTACAAGGTTAGAAAAACAATGGTAAAGGAATAGCATTGCAGTCCAGACAAGAAGAGAACTCAGAAACTGATTCAGAAACCATGGAACAGTCAATTGCACTACTAACGAAGAATTTTAACCGAGTTCTCAAGAAGTTTAACAAGTCCAGGAATAAAAATTTCTCAAACAACCAAGTAAATTCTACAAATCAGAAACCATCCAATCCAAAGAAAAGAGATAATGCTATTACTGAAGGAATACAATGCTATGACTGCAAAGGCTTTGGACACATTCAATCAGAATGTGCTACATACTTGAAAAGGAAAAATAAAACATATATAACAACTCTGAGCGATGACACAGATAGTGAAGAAGATGATAACAACACAAACTTCGTAGCATTCACTGCTAGTCATGAAGACAACAATAGTGATGACATGCAAGAGTTACTACAGGCATACACTCAACTAAATGCCAAATGGGAGCAAATCATCAAGAAAAATTTGGAACTCATGGAAGATAATCACTATTTAAAGAATGAAAAAGAGCGAATAAAGAAACAATACAAAGAAGCCCAGAACGAACTACTAGAACTCAAGAACAGAGAAACAAAACTGCTACAAGAAATTAAGGAGCTTACCGAAAGACCCGGGACTCCAAGCACGAACACCAGTGAGAATAACCAACCTGAAATACAGGAAGTGTCGGAACAGCACTTCCGACATCGAAGAAGAATAAGGTGCTACTATTGTCACAAACTAGGACACATCAAAGCACATTGCTACAAAAGAAAAAACGACTATTACTACAGACAAAACAACAGGGTATGGCCACCACACAACAGAAATAACAGCAAGAAAATCTGGGTAAGAAAAGACCAAAATGTTGCATACACTTCCAAAACAAACAAGGAGCAAGATATATGGTATTTTGACAGTGGATGTTCCAGGCATATGACTGGAAATCCAGAAAATTTAGAGGACATACTCTATAAAGATGAAGGATATGTTACCTTTGGAGATGGAGGAAAAGGAAAAATTGTTGCAAATGGAATCCTGAATGTACATGGACTGCCAAAACTGTCAAAAGTCTTCCTAGTACAAGGGTTAAAAGCAAACCTGATTAGTATAAGTCAACTATGTGAAGATGAACTTAAAGTGGAGTTCACAAAAGATAGTTGCAATGTTCTCAATCATAATCATGAATGTGTTATGATCGGAAGAAAATCCACAAATAAATGCTACACATGGGACGGTGATCTATCTTGCCTACAGACAACCGTCAATCAAACACAACTATGGCACCAACGGATGGGTCACATAAACTTTCATGACATGAAAAAGGGTTTAAAGAAGGGAGCCTATCGAGGAGTTCCAACACTTGACATAGATGATAACAAAAAATGTGATGCATGCCTTGAAAACAAAATAACCCGAACAGCCCATAAGAAGACCTAAGGAATATACACTTCTAGAATGCTAGAACTACTACACATGGACCTGTTTGGACCAACTCAGACAGAAAGCATAGGGGGAAAGAGATATGTCTATGTAACAGTTGATGACTACTCAAGATTCACATGGGTAAGCTTTCTTAGAGAAAAATCTGAAGCATTTGCAACATTCAAAACCCTTATTATCAAAATACAGAATGAAAAAGAGGGAAGAATAGGAAAAATTATTCGCCTAAGAAGTGATCATGGAAGAGAGTTTGAAAACACAAAATTCAAAGAATACTGCACAGAAAATGGAATTCATCATTAGTTCTCCGCACCAAAAACACCCCAACAGAATGGGGTAGTTGAACGAAAGAATCGAACCATCCAAGAAATGGCAAGAGTCCTCTTAAATCACAAAAGACTTCCATCAAAATTCTGGGCAGAAGCAGTTAACACAGCAGGCTACTTGATAAATCGAGTATTCATTCGAAAAGAAATCAACATGACACCATATCAAATCTGGAAAGGAAGAACACCAAATTTAAAACACACACATGTGTTTGGAAGCAAATGCTATATTCTAAAAGATAGAGAACCATTGGGAAAATTTGATATCAAAGGAGATGAAGGAATCTTCCTAGGATACTCCTCAAACAGCCGGGCATACCGAGTATATAAACTTAGGACAAACACTGTCATGGAGTCTATCAATGTTGTGGTCAATGACACAACAGAAGATTTCCCCAAAAATGATGAAGAGATAACTGGTGTTGAAACAGCAGTTCCAACATCTCACAACCAGAAATCAGAACCAGAAACATTAGAAAAAGAAGAAGCTGTAGACCTTGAAGAAAAAGAAGAAATCCACACCACTGATGAAACCAGGGTACAGAAAAATCATCCAATAGAGAACATCATAGGAGGACTAAATGAAGGAATCAGGACTAGAGGAAAGAAACGAGACTATCAAAAAATGGTAGAAGGAGACTATGACTACTGCTACACCTCAAAAATTGAACCCAAAAACATCACGGAAGCCCTAAAATATGAATTTTGGGTAGAAGCCATGCAAGAAGAATTACAGCAATTCGAAAGACACAATGTCTGGGAGCTAGTCCCTAAACCGGAACATGCCAATATCATAGGGACAAAATGGATTTACAAAAACAAAATAGATGAACAAGGAAACATCATAGGTAACAAAGCCCGACTAGTAGCTCAAGGATACACTCAAGTAAAAGGAACAGACTTCGAGGAAACATTCGCCCCAGTAGCCAGAATTGAATCAATTCGGCTACTCATAGCAGTAGCTTGCATACTCAAGATAAAACTCTACCAAATGGATGTGAAAACTGCATTTCTAAATGGATATCTAAAAGAAGAGGTCTATGTTGCTCAACCAAAAGGATTTGAAGATCCCCACTTTCCACAAAGTGTTTTTAAACTTAACAAAGCACTATACGGACTAAAACAAGCACCACAGGCTTGGTACGAACGCCTCACTGATTTCCTAGTCAAAAAGGGTTACACAAGAGGCAGCGTGGACAAAATCCTATTCGTCAAACAACTTGGTCAAGACATAGTCATTGCCCAAATCTATGTTGATGACATAGTATTTGGCTCAACACTTAAAGTCCACAAAGACCAATTCATCATCAACATGGAAGGGGAATTCGAGATGAGCATGGTTGGGGAACTAACCTACTTCCTTGGTCTACAAATCAGACAACTGGACAATGGAATCTTTATTTCTCAAAGCAAATATGCAAAAAATTTAGTCAAAAGATTTGGTCTAGAAGAAAGCAAAGTTGTCAGAACACCTGTTCCAACAACAGAGAGAATATCAAGGGATACAGAGGGAAAACCGGTTGAACAAACCCTATACCGAAGCATGATAGGACGATTACTGTACCTAACCACCAGCAGACCAGATCTAAGCTTTGCAGTAGGAATTTGTGCAAGATACCAAGCAAATCCAACCGAGCAACATTTAAAAGCGGTCAAAAGAATCATTAAATACGTGAAAGGGACATCTGATCTAGGAATATGGTACTCATTTGACACCAATCATCATCTCTCAGCCTATTGTGATGCTGACTGGGCAGGTAACATAGATGACAGAAAAAGTACGTCAGGATGATGTTTTTTCCTAGGTACTAATCTAGTATCATGGATCAGCAAGAAACAAAGCTCTATTTCCCTATCAACAGCAGAGGCTGAATATATTGCAGCAGGAAGCTGTTGCACACAACTACTTTGGATGAAACAGATGCTAGAAGACTATGGAATGCAACAGTCAACCATGACAATTCACTGTGACAATAAGAGCGCAATAGACATTTCAAAAAATCCAGTTCAACACTCAAGAACAAAACACATAGACATCAGACATCATTTCATAAGAGAATTAGTTGAAGATGAAATCATCAGTCTTACTCACATAAGTACTGAAAGACAACTAGCAGATATTTTAACCAAAGCTCTAGATGGGAATAGATACACAAAACTAAGGGCTGAAATAGGCCTGTGTATCCTATAACACTCACCAATTAAAAGAGAAACACATGGGCCCAATCCACAAAACAGTCCAAACCGGCCCATGTCCATATCTGTTATATCACACCGACCCATCATAAAAAAACCCAAACCAGGATACCCATCCCAAACAAAAGCCCTGTTTCAAAAACCCAGAATCGTCATCCTTACCCGACTCCACTCAACATCCATCTGTGATCTTCCCTCTCACCCCAAACCTTCACACAACAGGAACCATGGTGAGAACACGAAATCAAAAGATGGGAAAGTTACCACGAAAGGGAACGACCAAGGGCACCACAAACTAGACCGGCACCGGAGAGTCCTCGAACCCGGTATGTGTCGAAGAAGAAAGTTCCAACATTGCAACGAATCCTATTCCGATAGCCAGAGTACCGTTCGGTGAACCCCAAGAACAGAGCAACCCACCAGGTAACCCAAATCTCCCTCTAGCAGATCATGAAGAAATCCCCATGCCCATGCCCATCGCGGCTGATTTCGGGGATAATAGAATTGTTGATCCGAACGATTTAGTGGTACAACTCCGGTTTGCCATAAATCGTGGCTGGGAACCTAATCTAGGCTCCTATGTTAGCTCTGTAGATGAAGAAAATCCAAGGGGAACTGAAAATGAGAGACAAGAAGAGTCTCAAAATCATGAGGTAATTCGTCCCCCAAGTCCTACAAATGGTGAACAAACCCCAATCGATGAAACTCCAATTCCAATTCCTCGGGTCAACCGAAACCCTAGAAAGAGGAGGATGACCGACCCGTATGAAGGGGCTGATCCTAGGGCCAAAAGGCCAAATGATTTCCCAATACGGGCAGGACCCCCCCCCCCCCCCCCCCCAACGACAGCCAAATATCCCACCTAAACCCTCAAAAACCAAGAAATCAAAAATGGCACAAACAGAGGATGAACAAGACTGGACACCCAATGAAGATAATGATGGTGCTGAAAGAGTAAGATCCCGAGCCCAAAAGAAGTCTCAGCTACCTACCAAGGAGAAAGAAAAACAAAAGAAGAAACCAACCACCAAAAGGGATAAACTGTCCAGCAAGGAAAAGGGGAAACAGAAAGTAGGTACTAATGCTGACATGTCATACCTACCAAAACCACATAGTACAACCTTTCTGAGAAGAGAAGCAGTAAGTTTATGGAAAAGAATAATAGAAAGGAAAATCATTAGCCAAAAACTGCTTCCCATAGATAAGCTAGACAATCCAGAACAGATTCAAGATATATTAATCACAAGTCAACTCCAGGGAACAGTGACCAATATAGAACCCTATGATGAACAGGTTATACAGGAGTTCTACTGCAACATGACAAAAACCATCTCTACACCTAGTAGTCCTTTGTATGGAAAGGTATATGTAAGAGGCAGTTTCTATGACTTCACTCCAGACATCATCAACAGATATCTAGGAACACCAGAAGCAGAACAAAACATGGAAATAAATAGTGAGCAAGTTGCACAAGAGCTCACAGCTGGAAATGTCATTTTTGAAAAGAACAAGATCAAAGCAGCTTCCCAAACAAGCAAATATGCCACCCTCCAGAAAATAGCTCTAGCAAACTGGATGCCATCACTTCACGAATCCACTGTGAAATGGACCTTAGCAGAGCTATTATACAAGATAGGGAAAGGAGTTAAACTCAACATGGGTGTCATTATCTACTCACAAATCACAAACCTAGCTGAAGACACAAAATCCAACACTTCCTTAATTTTTCCAAACCTCATCTTTGGCATCTTGACAAAACAGAATCTCAAGACACATGGCCCAAAAACCATTGTCAAGAACCTCAACACCACAGTAAAATTAAGGAAGGGAAGCCATCAAAATGACCTAAGATCCTCAGCCCCAAAGAAGAATCCTCTAGACTCCAAGACACTAATCAACTATTTTGAGAGAAGACTAACAGAATTGGAGATCTCAGAAAAACAAATCCTAAGGAAACACATGGACATCAAGGAAGAAAGAACAGAGATATCAGAATGGTTAGCAATCCTAAAAGCAGCTAATGAAGAAGATCATGAAGAAGATCAAGAATCAGAAGAAGAAAGCCAGGAGCTCTCTCAAGAAAAGGATGAGCACACTCAAGAAAAGGGTGTTGAAACCCCTGTTTCAACATCAAATTCAGAAAATAGACCTTGACCATTTTAGCAAAAAAGGGGGAGAAAGGTAGGCAGAACTCTGTAAGGCAGGCAGAACTCTGTTGTTTTTCTTGGTTGTAGAGAAGGCAGAACTCTTGTTGGGTTGCACGGCAACCATCTTTTTTTTTGCACTACCTCTGGCATAGTTACTCTAAGTTTTTGTCACAAGTAGATCAGACAAGAAAGCCAAGCAGATGTTTGAGAGCTTAGCTCATTTACACCCCAATGACTCCTGTGTCATTTAAATTTATCCTCAGCATGGTAACTGGAAAAGATGTAAAATACCTTTATCTGGTATATATTATCTTATTTTTGGCATGTGCATATCATTTACCATTAGGACCCAGGATGCATCCAAATATCAGCAATACTAGCCCAACTCTTGCATGTACTAAAAAGCAAAAGCTTAACTGTATCCAATGTCCCACAAATTAAGGGGGAGACAATTCCTCTTAACAATCTCTGAAGAAACAAGATACATCAGGATAAGAAGGAGATTCACAAATGAAGGAAGAGACAAATCACACAGGACAAGCCATGAGAAGATTCAAGATGAACCAAAGTTTTTGCTAAAATTTCACAAAGGGGAGAATGTTGACTTTAGAACATTTTGTCAAATTCTAGTCAAAAAGGGAATACTAAGACAATCAAGGATTAGGACATATATTCCTAATCTAAATAGGAATAGTAATCCTATTCCTATCCAGCCTGCAAACTCTGAGAAGTGCCTCGCAGATTAGGGCTGCTTGCCCGAAACTGCGTTATAAATATTTGTGTCACAACGTCTGTTTCAACGTTACCGAATTCAAACGTCTATATTAATTTCAATTATTATTTTTTTAAATCTCTTAACCCTATTATATTAAGGTCTTCTATTTAGCTCCTTCTTAGCTCTTTGGTTCTTCCAAATGTCTTCTTCCTATTTCCTCTTGGTTTCCCCCCAGCCCTTTTTAGCCATTCAGCCTATTGGGCAAGCTCTCCTTTTTGCGTGCTAAACCATTCCTAAGTCTTCAAGTTACTACGTCGTTGCTTCTCAAAGTTCTTCTAGTGCACTCTAACGATTTCATCAAATCTCTCCTTCGTGTACCCTAGAATATTGCTTGATTTGAAGGCATAGTCCAATCCACCATTCTTGAAATCTTGAAAAGCATTGGCTTTGTCCTTGCTAAAGCACTCACAGTAGATGTCATGATTGGACTCTTCTTGTCTAACTCAGGCTTGATAGAGGATTTCTTGCCAAACCACGAGCCCGGACAATCTCTCTTCCTAGATTTGTTAATTCCATTTTCATTTTTCTCCTTCGTTATTTGATAACACATAATCTAGTTTTGTCGTAGGGGCGCTAGGCCCAAAATAATATGTACAGTACATCTGAGATAACGGCTCAAATAATAAATATTTTAGCTCTAATAGGGGACTAGGAACAATTAAGAATAATATTGTAGCTTGTGTGAGTCAAACTCCCAATTTAACTAAAGCATCAAAACTAGAAAATTACTACATGCATGTGGTCTTAAATTTGCTTCAATGAAAGTAAATTCCAAGGAGGTAGGATTCTTTTCCTGGGTGATTGAAAATCTATCAAATTTATTTATGTATTTATCCTTTTTGGCTTAGATTAAACGTCTTTTATAAATATAAGAAATTTGTCTCTTCAACTATTAGGAGGGACAACACTATTTATTGAAGAATTTTATTTCTCAACACTTTTTTATATATGTATTGGTTTGAATTTTGAATATTCTTGTTGCATATGTTGGAATATAGACTACATTGAAGATGAGAAGCAGAGAGAACAGATTGAAGAAGAAGAAGAATCAAACTTGTTTATTTGGAAAATAATATCTTGAATATACAGATAACAAAGCAGAGAAATGTTATATACAATGGATAAAAGTGAGAAGATGATATCAAGTTGGTTACAACCAACTAACAGATGGAAAGACAAGAACACCCCTAACTGCTCTACTGGTGGCTGCATGCTGGCTTGAACCGTCATCCTCCAACACCCCCCGTAAGTTGGAGCGTGTAGATTCTACATGCCCAACTTAAACACAAAAGGTAGTGAGGACTGCAAACATAGGTTACTCATTGAGTCCACCAAGGATAGTGGACCTCCTTATGCCATCAACATGAACCGTCATTCTTCATCATGAACTCAGCTCCATGTCTTAGCAAGATTTTTGAGGCACTCTTCTTGTTTGTACCTAGCACTGATCATAACACCTGTCTCACTGGTTTCTGTTTTTGAATCTTGACAGCTCCAGCATTGCCACAAAGAATGGCATGATGTAACAGAGTCCTTCCATCAACAACTCCAGCAAAAAAGTACTTGCCAGAAGGAAATCCACCCTTAATCAAATCAAGGGTCTGAGATCCACGGACTAAGTCAAAACCAAATGCAGTAACACCCTTCAAAGAAGTGAGGGTTTTGTATGTCGCAGCAGGGACATCAGCAAAGTATGTCTCAATAAAAACATTAAGACCAGATAGAATTGACTCCAAGTCAGAGTAGGCTTTAGTGAATGTCTCCAATTGGTGAGGCTCAATGTCCATTACAAGGTTTGGTTCATCAAACTGGATCCAAGAAGCACCAGCTCCTTTCAATTCAGTAACAACTTCGTTGTAGATTGGAAGGATCTTGTCAAGAAGGGACAACAATGCGAATGATTTTTCAACACCCTTGGCAGGTTTAGATAACAGCAAGTATGACACTGGTCCAATAAGAACATTATCTACACCAAGTGCCTTAGCCTCCTTGTATTCATTCACTGCCTTATGGGAAGCATAACTGAATTTCACATTAGGACCCAACTCGGGGACAATGAAGTGGTAGTTTGTATCAAACCACTTAGTCATTTCCATTGCAGGAACAGTGGCATTTCCTCTGGCCATGGAGAAGTAGGTGTCAAATCCAATTTCGCCACCAGTCCAGTTGTACCTGGGCGATACAGCACCAAGCATAGTAGTGGTATCCAGCACCTGATCATAGTTTGAGAAGGTGTTGCTCGGGATGTACTTGATTCCAGCACCAGCCATCTGTTTCCAGATGGAGGCTCTGAGATCGCTTGCCACCTTCTGCAAATCCTCAGCGCTGCTCTTTCCATCCCAAAAAGATTCAAGAGCAAATTTAAGCTCTCTCTTTGGGCCCATGCGAGGGTATCCAACAATGTGAGATGCCTTTTTTAGCAACGAGACGAAGGATAACACGAAGCAAATGAAGAAGAAGAAAGTAGATTGATTAGAGTGAATTGAGCAACAGAAATACTAGGAGAAATGAAGCGTGCCCTGCAACATATTCTGGTTTAGACACCTCCTCACCAAACGCTCTATTTTCAGGTAACTTCGATTCAACGGCGGATTCTAAAGCAGAATTGAATGAAACGACATTGTTGTCATTCATCTCAGACGCATCCTTGCTTCGTTTCACTTTCCATTCGTTGAACTCCGAAACCTTGCCGGAAAAATTACTGTGACTCGAAGTTTCACATTCGTCAATTTCTCTCACGATTTCACTGTTCGGCTTCCTAGCTTTGCCAGACAACGAAAAACTCGGACGAGCTCCTTCCTTCCGCTGCGGAACGGCTGTGGAGATCGCCTGAATTGGTGATTGAATGACCGAAAACGACGGACAAGCTCCCTGGATCGCCTTCCGCTACGGATCGGCTATGGAATTCCGCTGCTCCGAACTCAGATTCCTCTGCGAAATCCTTGGTGATGTTGATCGGACTGGCGCGTCGGCATTGTTGTTACACTGCATAACAATAATTCTCTCCATCGCCTGGAATGGAAGGAGAGACATCAGCTTATTCAACTGCTCAGAGATGCCTAGATCATCTGAGTTGAGGCTCCTGTGAGCACGATTGATCGAGTTCCTCTACGGAACTGAACGATTGATCGAGTTCCTCTGCGGAACTGAACGATTGATCGAGTTCCTCTGCGGAACTGACTCTGGAACAATACGAGAAAGGAATCGCACGAATAGAGATTGTGCGGCTGGAGATTGTGCGATCGGAGTGGTAGCCAGCGTCTCCTGCTTCACGCCGGCGACGGTAGAGACGGCGGCGGCGGCGTAGGATCGCGGCTCTGATACCATGTTGGAATATGGACTACATTGAAGATGAGAAGCAGAGAGAACAGATTGAAGAAGAAGAAGAATCAAACTTGTTTATTTGGAAAATAATATCTTGAATATACAGATAACAAAGCAGAGAAATGTTATATACAATGGATAAAAGTGAGAAGATGATATCAAGTTGGTTACAACCAACTAACAGATGGAAAGACAAGAACACCCCTAACTGCTCTACTGGTGGCTGCATGCTGGCTTAAACCGTCATCCTCCAATAGGTGTCATTTGAGCACAAAGTGCTTGATATAGTGATATATATTAAAAATCATGTAATGACATTATGTTATTTTTTTTTAAAGGATATATATTGGAGTTAGTTTCTTTCACAGAAAATCTTTGCGCCTTCACGTGAATATATGTAGGTGTGTAAACGAGCCGAGCCGAGCTCGAGCATGGGTTGGCTTGAGCTCGAGCTCGATAAGCAAGGTTCGGCGATCGAGCTCAAAAAAAGATGCTCGAGTTCGGCTTGACAATTTTTCGAGCCGCTCAAACTCGGCTCGAGCAGCTCGATTGTTCGAGTTCGGACTCAATTTTGACCTATTTGAATTCATATTTCAATTAATAATAAACATTGTTTTATCCATACATAAATAATAAAAAGTTTAAAAATTTTAGAAGTCCAAACTTCAATGTTTAAAGACTCCATACACTCAAAACAAGTTTACAACTCCACTTTAATTACAAGTCAATAGTAGACATTGATCCTTACGATATATATAATATTTATCTATTTATTTAATTATGGCTTGCGAGCGGCTCGACGAGCCACGAGCCTAGAATATTTGAGCTCGAGCTCGGCTCGTTTAATAAACGAGCCGCTCGAGTTCGGCTCGAGCTCGATTTTGACCGAGCGGTTCGCAAACCGCTCGCGAGCCGCTCGGCTCATTTACACCCCTAAATATATGGTCTGTTATGTAAACAAGAATTGAGTAGTTTGGTTGGGCAACGTATAATGTTATGCATATAATCACAGCTAAACTATCCAATAAAAAGGTGACATATAAGAGTGGAAAATTTTAGAATGGTAAGTAGCATTACTGAAACTCTAAATTTGCAATCTGGAAATACAAATAATTCAATTCCTACGTAATTCAGAGAATATTAAAAATGTGAGTTTCTAAATTTCCTACTCCAGATGGGATTCCAACTCAGAGCGGGAAAAATAACGAAAATACATTATTCTGACATGGATACTATAAAAAGCTAACTAGCTAGTTTCCCGAATCTCACCAGCATTCGAATTTAATTTGTTTTTTCCCCCCTATATGTATTCCTCATTCTTTCTCGGACTGAAAGATGTGCCCTTTCATCGTTTACACTCTGATATGAAAATGTCTGAATTTGTCCTTGTGCAACAATTAAAGATAACTTGCCGAGGAATAAGAATGGTAGCGATTTGGGTAATTTGGCAAAGCTCATAGACGATGGTCCCTTCCAATGTATTGCAAAACACAAATAAGTATTCATCCCGTACCCAACAAACTAGAATATAATAATTCTTCACATTCAACGATCAAACTAGAGGAGGGAGTTGGCAAGAACCAGAAAGTGGATAAAACATCAACTAAGCTACGTCTGGAAGTGGGAAATCACTGGATAAATAAGAGGCTAAGCTCAAGTGACGTGAATGTTTCATCAAGGCTATTGCTGCGTAATACGAGATCAGAAAATACGTGTTGCCTCGGATGGATGTGGAGAGGTGTAGAGCTTGTCAAAACAGGGATGGGGTGAGAGTCAGAATTTGGGATTTGGATACCCGGTCTGTTGAGCATGAACTGAGCCTCAAGCAATGGAAGACTGGGTGTTTTTTGCTCACCAACAACTGGAATACGTACAGAGTTTGATAGAAGAAGGAGTTTGCATGAACATGATGACAACATTTGGTTGTCTTGGACTCCCAAAATGGAAGATTCTTGTTCCATTTCCACAAGTTCAATACCGTACCCAATCTTATATATTCAATGATTAACTAACATAGTGAGATGAGAGTGTGTGGCAACTATTGCACCATTCAGAAAAGTGCAAAGATTTGCATGAAGGCGTTAATTCCAGCAATGCTCCTCCGACTATGTTGATTTTTCACAATTGGTCCCGAACTTTTAATTTGGACAATTTAGACACTTGACTTTTGAAATCTTTCCAATGATGTTCCTTCTGTCAAATGAAAGTTAAATAAATGTTAGTTTGAGAGGTAAAGTAGTCATTTTACTTGCTTACAGTATAATCCATGGTCTTTCTCCTTTGGCGACATAAATCATCCAAATTCCCAAATCCCCTCCTTGTGGGAATTGAAAACTAGGACTACACGGAGTAGTGTAGGTATATAATACCTCATTCATTCTCTACTGGAAAATTATATGCCATGGAGAAAGTGGAAACGCCAACAACGGCGAGGCTCCAATGGTAGTGGTAATGAAAATTTCCATATGTTATCCCAACATGTTGATCAGTTCGCTGCCATTCTTTCTGGCATTGCAATATCGGAGATGGATGATGAAGGCTATGGGAGGGAATGAACAGAGGGTCTCATTGATGAGCTGAATAGGAAGCAACCTATCAACGCTGCTGTTTACATTCTAGCTAAATACGAATAAAAGGACGATTACACTTCATAACTGATTATAGATGGGGAATTACATTGTTGCCCCATTGCTACTCTCTGTTACCCCCCCCCCCCCCCCCCCCCCCCCCCCCCCGTAAGTTGGCGCATGAAGATCCTGAGCGCCCAGCTTAGAGAGGAAGAGATGTATTTCCACCCATAATTGCATCACAGTGATAGTCCTGTAATCTGGTTGGGGCATGTCGAATTCTATTAGATCTTCTAGGCTGTGCAAGGGACATTATGTCAGTCTGAATTTCATGCATAGCTTCTTGTGGTTGGTCCTGTTCTTCATCTATATGGATCTGAGATTGTTGATTATTAGTAGTTGAAGATTGCATGTCAAAGGGTGACTGGCTGGGACTAGGAACATTTTGATGATCTGGTTCAAATTCCATATTGGTGGTTATAGGGATCACAGGTTGTGAGGGCTCAGATTGTGACCTCTGTGCTTGTTGCATTACTTCTTGCTTAGACATGGGAAATTGTTTCTCATAGAATATCACATCTCTAGAGATAAAAATTGAGCCATCCTTGAGGTCATATAGCAAATAGCCCTTCGTACCGGCTGGTATGCCAATAAAAACACATTTCTTTCCTCTCGGGGCCATTTTGTGTCTATTTAGAGGCAAGGTAGCAGCGAAGCAGAGGCAACCAAACACCTTGAGATATTCCACGTTTGGCGCCTTCTTGTATAATTTGTGATATGGACTAGTCCATTTAATTACTGGAGACGGCATCCTATTTATAAGGAATGTGGCGTGCATAACGCAATGCCCCCAAAACTGCAATGGGAGATTAGCTTGAAACCTGAGGGATCTAGCAACATTAAGTATATGTTGGTGTTTTTGCTCCACTATCGCATTTTGTTGTGGTGTGTTAACACACGATCGTTGGTGGACAATGCCCTTTTCTGAAAAAAATTCTTCCATGTTAAATTCATGTCCGTTGTCGCTGCGAATCACCCTGATCATAACACCGAACTATGTAAGAACATAAGCATGAAACTTACGAATGAATTGCCTTGTCTCGGACTTGGTTTTCATTAAATGCAACCAGGTAAACCTTGAATAATCATCCACAATGGTGAGAAAATATCGCTGTCCTTCAAGAGAACAGACTGGGAAAGGTCCCCAAATATCAACGTGGATAAGATCAAAGCATGCATGAGAAGTGCTAATACTCAAAGGGAACAGAGAACGCTTCTGTTTAGCCAAATGACACACATCACAAACCAAGACTTTGTTTTTATCTAAAGTAATATTAGAAAACAAGTGCAACTTATTAATTGGGAAGTGCCCCAATCTTTGGTGCCAAATCTCTGCACTATTACACTGCATAACAAATTTCTTTTCTGATATTTCTGCTGACTCTTGAAGCACGTATAATCCCCCTTCATGCCTAGCTATACCAGCCATCATA